CTGCACCACATTTTGACAAGTTTTAACATATTATTTTTGTTGTTATTTAATTTTGGTTATTTTTTTATAAAAATATAGTTTATTCTTTAACAAAACCCGTGTAAATCCAAGTTTCAAACTTTGTGCAATATTAAAAAAAAATCAACAAACTTTAGTAAAAATTTCTAACTTTTTTCTGAGTATGCAGTTTTGTAGCCCATTGAATTCTATGTAGTAGAACAAAGTATAAGTTTCAAATTGCCAACAATTTTTTAGTTTTTTTTTCGTCTCATTTGCTTCCATATAACGAATACACACAATTTATTTTTATATGGAAGAAAAGCGAAACATCCTGGACAAAAAAAAAATTCTAAAAAATCAACCGTAATTTTTAGCCTTATGAAACTTGTACTTTGTTGTACTAGACTTCAATGGGCTACAAAGCTGCATACTCAGAATCTTTATAGAAAATCGAATTAAAAAAGTTAGAAATTTTTACGAAAGTTTGTTGAATTTTTTTTTTTTAACATTGACTAAGTTTGAAACTGGGATTTACACGAGTTTTGTTAAAGAATGAACTATATTTTTATAAAATAAAATAAGCAAAATTAAATAATGGCAAAAGTAATACGTTAAAACTTGTCAAAACGTGGTGCGGCTATAATTATTTCGACCACTGTACATAACCACAGACTTAAGACCTGTCTGCTGAGTGTCTTTGGCATATTTCCTTTTCGAACCCTTCATGGCCACACAAACACAAGCTGAACAGCATTTGCATACGAAAATGTACAACTTTTTATTGCTTCCCACTTGCTTTAACTTTTTCATATATCTTCTTTTTTTTTGCATTTTTTTATATAACCCTATACTATAACAGCGTCACGGATTGGAGCATCTTAAAGCCATGAACTTGTTGCTACAAAATATTTAGCGATTTTTTTCTTGTCTGTGCCATGAAACAGAAAATTGTTCAAAAAATTTAAACAAGTCAGTAAAACCAGTTTTACACCACACCAACACATGCAAGCAATCTACACACATACATATATGTACCTAGCTGTGTACACTTACGAGTATAAAGGTAAAGAGCAGCGCGCACCTCAATAGTTAAGCTACGACGACGAATTTCACATCGAAACAGAATATTTCAGCAGTTGGGAAGGTGAAAGAATGGAGAGAAGAATCCAGCAAGCCATCGAGGCACTGAAGCAGCACGTCACTGACTACACAAACGATGCGGCGACGAATGCCCGGCGAAGACAAAAGGCTATAGAAAACAAGTACTCTTACGAACCAACATACATATGTAACTATGTATGTACATGCATATGTATGCATGCACACCTTTACTTTGTAAAAACTTACTTACAGGCATGCAACTATGTAAGTGCTTCCAATAAAGTCAAATTGCTTGATGTAATTTAGGCAAAGCGTGAGCATCAGCTTGAAAATAAAAGTTGCAATTGCAACAACCGTCAGTCACTACTGCTGCGTATCAATCTGCTTCTGGTGCTGCTGCTGGTATACATACATAAGTATGTAGTAAGTAGTCAAGCGTGCGGGTAAGTCGGTAGGTAATATTGATAGGGTTCAGTGCGCCAAGGCAGCAGGCAGCAAGCAGCAGCCATTATTGTGCAAAGCAAAAAATCATCGCCTTTGTGCGCATGCGCGGCGGCGATTATTGCAGCGCATTAGTACTTGCAAGTTTCGCAATCAGCACTGCGATGTGGTATACAACCGAAGCGATATAAGCAGCAGCTGATAGCTGAGATGCGGGTAATGGTTGCGATGGCGATGGCGGTGACGGTGGTTATGCAGGAAGCATGCATCACGGCGCTGACGTGAGAGGCCAAAGTGCATGAGCGGCAAAAGAAAAGCACGTTGCATAAAAGCAATGAAAACAATAAAGTAATAAAGAGCAACAACAATCTCTTATTTTAATAAATGTGTAAAAAATAAAAATACAAAATTATTTTCCGACATTAAATTAGCAACCAAGTAAATTTTTGCAAATAATTATTTGAGTGAAGTGGCAGCTGACGTGAAAAGGCGCTCGTTCACTACTGTTCACCACTCAAATACTATACGAGCACCGCAATTCTGTGCTGCAAGCACACGCTCAATCTGTCCTCCTCTACCAAAAATTATCGCTCACCGGAGTTGACCAGCGTGCAATTGGAGAGCGTTGGCGTTTTGCGTAACACCAGGGGTGACTCTTTTGTCTCTGTAATTATCATTGTGTGCGTGCAGCGTAACACACTTCAATTGTGTTAGTGTCACATAAAATACTCTGGCGCATGTATGTATGTATGTACTCTTTAGCGCAATTGAAAATAATTGAGCACATTAATGAACATACATACATATTTATTTTTGGAGTTTATTTTTATTTTTTAGTAATATTTGCTTACTCGCTGTTTGACCACGAATAGAGTACTAAAAAAAAGCTTATAAAAATGCCCACTTGCGGATAGCTGTGTGGTTACATATTTCGATTTTTGAGCATGTGTCGGCCGGCGGATTATCGAGTTCTTCCCAGCCAGAAGAGAAACCTAATTTGCCGTACAATTTTCCGTATCCGGAAACGAAAAAAACGACTAAAATTTTCATTTCATTCATCATTTACGTATCCAAGAACGTAAAAAAACGCAGATTTTAGTATCCGGAAACGAATAGAAAATGGCTACAGTTATCATTAATTTGTAAGCAATAAATGTATTTTATTTGGTTATGCTTGGGCCATAAAAGAGCATCTGTGAATCGCAGAAGGATAGCGTATTGAACGAAAATTTGAATCATACAAGTTACAAAAAAAAAAAAAACAGCCAGAAACGTCTCCGTTTCACAACAACTTTCGGTACTGAATGGATAGTAACCGAAAATCCGTATATCCGGATTTTATCTGCACACACGAAGATCCGAAAATCCGAATATACGGATATTGGGGGTTCTACATGGCACATAAAGGATATAATTTTCGTTAAAGTGCGCGATTGAGAAAGTAATTTTTATTTGTTTTATTTTTAATTTTTATATTGTGTACTATCGCTACAACCTTCTATGAATTCGCCTTGATTTGTTGCCGACACCATAAACTATTTACTCTATAAACGAACTCTACGAAATGTCTAACTTGCCTACATTCTCTTTAAAATATCCTCTTATTGGTTATGGTTCATGAGTGGTCTTAAGAAAAAGTGCACGGAATGTATATCAATTTATTTTTAATTTCTCCCTAAAACCTACCTCAGGCATTTTCAACTACGACGGTTCGATGTTGGCATCCTGAACTGGAGGTGTTATTTTGGCGTCGGGCTAATCTGTACGCATTTTACGTCAAACAAGGTAGCTCTTCAAATTTTAATGTGCAACGTTTGTTGGCCAAATTCAGGACGACCGGTATAAAAAGTGACCATCCCGATTAAAAATCGCGATATACACCTGTATTCCCAGAGCCTTCCTAAAGTTTATTTGCCCATAAACCGATCACAAATCGGCCAGATCTGGCAAAAGGGCGGCGCCACATGCTCTACAACGTATCGGACAATCGACTTACTGTAAGAAAATTTTTGGTGAAGGGACTATTTCTAGAAATGGACCCAACAAATGGAAACCACGATCGTACGATTTAACGCTTCTAGATTGAACGCCTTGAAAGACAGCACTGTACGAATCTTTGCCAAGCTACGGCACCCATTGCTTAAAAAACTGATAGCATATTGCACCGTCCAGCATGCGCCACTTCCAACCCAGACGCGGCCACGTGCCCACAATCATATACCATCAAATACTAATGGCATAAAATTATCTTTCTAATTAACGCCTTGGCACTCACGTCACTGTTGAGAGTTATAATTTCGAGAATGTACAGAATTTCGTTTACTTGGGAACCAGCATTAACGCCGATAATAATGTCAGCATCGAAATCCAACGCAGAATTACTCTTGCCAACAAGTACTACTTTGGACATTTGTGTGACCCAACACACATCATGCCCGTGCTGGTATATGGCGCAGAAGCATGGACAATGACAACATCCGATGAGGCGACTCTTGGAGTATTCGAGAAAAAAATTCTGCGGAAGGTTTACGGGCCTTTATGCATTGGCAATGGCGATGGATCTATATCGAATTAAAATACAGCGGCCCGCTAGCTTGGTCATGTGTGTCCAATAGACACCGACGCTCCAGCTCTGAAATTATTCAACTCGGAAGCCTCTGGTGGTAGCAGAGGAAGAGAGGAAGGCCTTCTCTGCGTTGAAAAGACCAAGTGGAGAAGAATTTGGCCTCACGTGGCATTTCCAATTGGCGTCAGTTGGCACAGAAGAGAAACGACTGGCGTGCATTGTCGAACTCGGTCAAACTTGCTTAGACGTTACAGCGCAAAATAAGAAAAGTAAAGTAAATTCCCGTTTAAAATTATTTTATTTCAATTTATAGTTCTACACGTCTAATGAAACCCCCTTTTATAATGAAAAATTTTTATGGAGACTTTAGGAATAAACAGAAATACTCGAACCTAAGCAAAGGTCATAAACAGGTAGGTTGGTTCGGGTGTCTGTCCAATGTCAATTTTGAGGCCTGTGACTATTGCCCTTATTGTAAAATATGAAAGAAGTTCTAACTTAAGCTCACATATGTATAGAAAAGTGGGTGTGGCGTCCAGATGCTGTCACTTTTTAAACGGATTTTCTTTATATGCGAACAAGAAATACTCCATGCAAAATTTCTTACAAAATTTTACATGCCAGTATAAAAATTGGAGCGAACACGTAAGCGCTTTTTACAGTTTTTTACTTTTAAATTTAATTTCAAAATATATAAAAATTAATAAAGTCTGTACAAACTGCATATGCAAATTCGCACATATAAATTCTAGGTTGCTAAGAGATCCTTATACTTATTCGAGACGAAATACTATAACTTGCGTTCTTTCTTTCGCGACATACCAGTAAATATTTTCACAAAGATACGTATCTAATATTCTTATTTCTATCACTTCTCGCTCCATCCGCTTACCTACCCATTTGCGGCCACTAAGCTTCGAATGGTTGCTTGCTGCTCGGGTGTTCGCCCAATTCGCGCGCCAAATCCGCTATCACCTCCTTGTAGATCAATGGATCGATATTCTTGCCCAGCTGATACAGCAGGAACCAATCGCCAATATTGCATTTATTTGCCACCGCTTCAACCTCTTCGCTCTCGGCCAGACGGGAACGTGCGCGCAACAACAGATGACGTAGTTTGGGACCAATTATAACAGCCATGCGATAGACCAACGATATGCCCGACAATATACTCAAGATGATGAACCAGAACCACAGGAATACATAGATTTTCTCATTCACAATATTCAATGGCAACACACAGAGACCGTCGAACTTTTGCACCGAACCAGATGGACCGTATTTGTGGAATGTGCATTTGGTGACTTTCGGAAAGACACGCGCCATCGGATCGATACGTTCATCTGGTTCCATTTCGGTGAATTTCAATACATCACTACCGTATGTGGAGAATTCACCATCCAAAAAGAAGTCCACAAAGAATATTTGACCAATAACATTGACAAAGTTTAGCGCCTCACAAACGAAGAAACGGAAAGCATAGAAATTATGCCGATTCAGATTACCCATAAAATACTCGACAAGTATCTTCTTGCGATCATTCTTACACTCATCATTCACAATCGGGCTATTGAGATCCATAACAAGCATCTTTAGGCGTCCACCTTCCCACGATTTCCATAGATAGCGCGGCACATAGAATAGTATGGCCTGAAAGAAGAGCACGAAGCACACCCACTGATAGTATTTGTGGTACTTAACTTCATCCACGCCATCTATATGTGAGCCGACGCCCGGTTGTACCACATCACGTCCTGTGATGCCCGTCAAACGTTCGGGCACAGTAAATGTGGAGTAAATCCAGCAATAGGTGTCCATAACACCGAGCGGAATTTCATCGACAATGCAATCGATGGGATCGCCAATGTATTGACGCGACGTGACAAGTAATGAGAAGGCAATCAATATGATCACCGTCGCTTTGTAGTGCATGCGGAAGACATTGTTGTCGATGCAGACTTGATCGATCTTCAGCAGCCCCTTGACGGAGCCGAATACATCAAACATTTTGTCGGTTTATTAACGTAACGTAGATACTATTTTTTATTTTATAAAAGTCAGTAAAGTTTAAAGTTATATTTTTAAAAAGGATTCGCGACACAGGCGCGCGTACCGAGCGAGTGACTTGTTGTTTCGGGAATGTTGAAAGTGCAATTTTAATGATTCGAAAGAGGCAGTAACGGAAACGCGCTGGTAATACTTTCGTTGGTGTATTGAGTACTCTCGTTTGCTTGCGGTATGCGGTTTGTTGTGTTATGTTTTGTTTTTTTTTTTAGTTGCTTTTGTATTTAACGATTTTTTACTCTTTCCTTCCAATTATACTTTCACACACAGCATTCGCGTTGCTGTGGTTTTGCATAAGATTTCACGTATTTGTTGTGGTTTTCGCCGTTGTTACTCTGGCAGTGACGATCAGTAGTAAATTTCGGAAATCAGTTTCCACACGCATAACAAAGCTTTTATTCAGAGTTCTTTCAACATTTGATCCAAACAGTTCTCAGATCATTTTTGCATATCGACATTTCTTAATTATCACAACAAACTATTGTTTACTTCATAATAACTTTTATTTCTAGTATTTTTTTCGAAGGGTTGCAAATTTCGTTTCAGCGGCGAGCGCACACGCACGGCGGCAACCACTTCCCAATATTAAGCGACAACGTCGTTGGATTTGTTTAGATTATCGCTTTAATATTCACTGAACAATAATTCTCTGTGTGTGTGTGTGTTTTTTTTTTGTTTCTTGTTGTGGATATCGACGATAAACATTCACACTTGCACTTCATACGGCGGGGGGCCTGTCTGTCTGCCTGCCCTTGTTCTTGGTTGGCTTGGCTTGGCTTGGCTTGGTCCAAGTATGTCTGTCCGTCTGAACACACTTTGTACTATGTAGTAACTACGCCGTTGCACCGCGGCACACAGCGTACACTTCGGATAGAAAATTAAAACTGTTTAGCTGATTGCGAGCACCACCGGGCGCTGATACAAAGATACGACGACGACGACAAAAATGCCTTATTGTATATGCGAAGGCAAGCTGATAGACTAATTCAGGCGGCATAGCACGTCATTCCATGGAGTTTGAGTTGTTTGCCAGCGCTTGAGTGGCTTGATTGACATGTGGTTGTAGTGGTCCGGACTTGTGGCTGTATTAGTGCTGCTTTTGTTGCCAGCAGCAAGCCATTACTCACTCATACATTAACACACGGTTTTTTGTTTACATTTGTGTGCGTGAGTATCTGCGCATTTTGCTAACGAGCACTGCCGCACTGTGTCAAGCCAGTTTGGAGCCATTCGTCTTCGGTAGGCGCGTAAGCTTAGCTTTACAATCCACTCAAGTAATTCTCATGCAAGTTTGACAATTTGCAAAGCGCGCCACATCACACTGCCGCTTACTCCCATTTTGAATTATGATGCTCTGACTTGTGAAAGCACATCGTAGATAGCCTCTCATTTTTAGACCAGTTTTTGAGTTGAGTGTTTTTAAAAAGGTGTTTGCGGATTTTGACTGGCTTTTGACATCTCTGTCCTACTATTGCATGCTGCTACTATCATTATTAGCTACATGCATGTGCATGAGTTTGTTACCTGTAATTCATATGAACATACATACATAACACAAAGGTGTCGCAGGAACAGGATTTGGGTTGACGTAAAGGCAGCGATGCCAAATGCTTGAAAAAATGTTATAATCTGAGTTTAAGAGAATGCTACCAGATGTATTAAGAAAAAAATTAGATAAAATTTACATTTCTGTACATCAGACTGGTTCAAAAAAAAAAAACGAAAATGTCGAAATTGTAAATTTAAATATGGTTAAGTATTTACTAATGCACGGATGGTAATACTGTATGGTTTTACAGTTTTAACGCGTAGCGCCTCCGAAGATCCCAGAAAGGTATTAGATTAGCAATCCTCCAGCCTAGACTCTAATCTGAGCTGTAATCAAGCCAAGACTAAGAAAAGATTTCCAAAGATAAAAATCCTCTAAATATGAAAATATATTATGATGTATTATGGAACGAATTTCCGTCATCCCTTGTCAAATTTGGTTTGGAGACAAACCGGTTTCGGCGTTGTGCCATCTTCAGTGTCATTTTTCGTTCTGCGTTCGTTCCATAATACATCATACACCCACCCTGTCGGAAACAACAACAACCAAAAAAGAAAATATATTACTCCGGACTGATTGGCTTGCACCTAGCAAATCCTAAATTTACCATATTTCACAGTTCGGCAAATTCTGGAAAGATGTTGAATAAGTAAATATATGTACACACTTTCTATACGGGATCTCTAATACGGCTCAATTCAAACTGGGACCAGTGTTGCCATTTTAACTACGAGCGAAGTTTCTCACTTCACTTTTATGGCCAACATTTCTACACTTCCTCTTTGACAAAATCACTTAGATTTTAAGCGACCAGAATTGACCTACAAATTATCTGATTTTATTTTTTGACATATTTTTAGTAGATATGTACACACAAGACGTACATCTCAAGACGGCATCAGACTTTGTGTTGAACAATACATTTTTATGGAAAAGTTATATGACTTCTTTGGATGCAAATACTAAATATTTCTCGAGAAATGGAAAGCGATTTGGCAGGGAGCAGCACTACTGACATTTCTTCCACTCCATCAGAACGTAACGCAATTCGAAGGCCATTTAATCAAACTTTTCGGCCAAATTGGACCACTAAGTGAACCACTATTAAAAGTTTAATAGTTTTGTTATATAGAATTAGTTCTATGGCCATCGATAGTTTTCCAGCTCTAATCCATATGATATTGACAGCACCGGCCTCACGACTAGCGTCGTTAGCGCAACATTCTACAGCTTACATAAAGAGGCAAAACTGGTTGGTATTGCGATGAACGAAAACAAGTATCACACGAAGACTCTTCATGAAATTAAAAATTTTAATTTTCGCTAAATTTGAATTTCATCATTTCAAAGGACCAGAATTGGCCCCCAGGTCTATGCAATATATTTTCAATATGTACATAAATAAAGTTAATGGCGACTTTTACGTCCTTTTCAGATTCTTTGCACTCTCTTAGCTGGTTAATTCTATTGCCCCTTATGCAATACCTTCATTTCTTCAAAAATCATTGGTTAATTGCTAAATGCATGGAAAGTACTTCCGATGCATTTAGAATTACGGTGGCAAGAAGTAGTATTACTTATTTTAAAACAGTGGCAACTTCACCAATAACCATCTTCATTATCTATGATTCCACTCTGCGCTTTTCATCTTATTTGCTGCGATTGTATCTCACCTAACGAAAGAACTCGTCTCAAAAGGGTTTTGTTTTGTTTTTGAACCAATTTGGTAAGTATGTATATATGTGCATACATACATACATATATGTTTGTACATATGAATACGTGTACATATGCAAGTATTCTTGTAGAAATACCTGCGATGCATTGAGTTGAAGAAATTCCTGGAAGTGTGTTGCGCCAAAGATGTACATACATACATATGTCCCTAATATATATTTGTATGTATGTATTTATACGTGAATGGCAGCGCATGAATGCAACTGTTCGAGTGCTATAAGAACCACATGAGGGGTATTCTCTGAGTCTTGCAAAGCCCTTGCGCGGTGCACAAATTGCACGGTAAAAACCGGTTTTCCTATGGGAGGGGTTTGCAAACCGTGCAATCCGTACACCATGCAAGGGCTTTGCAAGACTCAGAGAATGCCCCTTTAAAAAAACATATTTTATTAGTGCTCTGGTTGGCCTACTATGCAGGCTATTTTATCATTTTGTTTTAACAATTAAATCGGGCAAACTTCTGAAATTTTTTTGAGTTATTAATTGAAGAAAAATTAAATTTTTTTCTCACAATTTACATGTTAGAATGTTTTCTGTGTGTGTTATGTGTTGTGATCTGACCTAATGTATGTAAAATTTTGTATGTACCTGCAAGCACGCATATCTGCCTCTAATATAATTTTATTGATTGATTATAGCTAAATACATTAGGGGTCTTCATCTAAAGTCATCATGAACGCACCTTGGTAAATAATGCACAAAAAAATTATTTATTATTTAATTTATATGGCTAGTTACTTTTTATTCTTACCTCGTCTATTGAGTTCATGTGCTTTTTATTTGTTCGTAGCAAAAGCGACTAGCTGGCAACATGTCAGGGTAAAATTTTGCTGAAATTTATAAATTTATCCAACAAAACCATTTGATAAAGTGGTAAACTTTGGTTAAATAGATTTCCATGTAATGTCGGTCAGTTCATTTGTCAAAATAATACATTTATCATTTTATCAAGTTTATCAGCAGTTTATCACTTCATATGAAGACCCCCATTAATTTTGAAGTCTTTTTGGAGAAAAATACCTTTGAGACCTAACTGGAACATTCTAGTGGCATTAAAATTTAAAAGAATGTACTAGCTGGCATTGCATTAAAAAGTATGGTTGTATTTACTTAGCCTCACGCAATGTGTAAGACATAAAAGCAAACTGTTGTCGGAGCAAATACTGTTATGAACACATTGGTACCAGTACTTGATAATGATAAAGAATTTTCTTTATAACAAATACGAGTTATCATTATTTCATTGCCTTTCAACACTTTTTGTAGCCAATAAAAATGTGAAGCAGAAAAACGTCTATGTACATTAGTATGCGCATATCTATGGAAAGACATAAAGATGTGCAGAGAGCAGAAATACCAAGATAGCACAGATATCTACATATGTATGCTGGCCAACAACGCTTTCACCATTGGAATACCAACAGCAGCGATATCAATACAAGCATTGTGCATTATATATTTTGTGCCTTTCTTTTAAAATATTCGCCCTGACAAACGATCTACATACCTGTAAGGCAACTGATAAAATCCACCTTTCATAAAAAAAAACGAAAAAAAGAAGATTTTTTGGGAGAGATATTTCTTGCTCTAAACCTGTCATAGAAAAAATATGCATAGACACATACATATGTATGTACATTTAGCGGTTGTATTTATGTATGAGCATACCCTACAAGAAACTTGAATGGTTGTGGAAAAAAATTTTGAAGTTACGGACAGACACCGGAACAGTTATGACTTTAATGCTTAAATTTGTATTAAAAATTTTTAATCATGTGTGTATGTATATTTTATAGTTATTTATTGATAAAAACAAGTACTATTATTCGAAAGTTTTAAATAATAATTATTATTTTCTCAGAAGCACTCAGGCCTCTCGAAAAATGATGTATATACGGTTTATGGAGAATTTCATTGGCTTTCATTTGCCGTATTTCGTATTACGATTGTTCAATTGGTTCGTAAGATATGCGATAGCGATGTTTAACTGTTAGTTAAACTTAACGAAACGTGGTGCAAAAGACCCCTGGAAAATACTTTTTTTGAGATTTCGCGGGCCAGTAGTTGAATATAAAAATCACATGGCGATCGACAATTCTCAGTCAATTCCTGACAGGGAGTGTTCGCTTGCATATATTTAATTCATGAAAATGCCAATGCACAAGTAAATACGTCAAACAAAAACGTTCAACTTATTTATTTATGCATTTAATGCCTTATTTATATATATATTACTAAAGCATATTCAAATATTTATTATTCTGTAGTGCATGGCAAACGATTTATGTGTATCTTCAACGGCATAAGCTATCAGTGCAGTAAATAAGTAACTCCAATGCGATGTGTCAATTTACAAACCTTCAATGGTGCTATCAGTCGCTGGCTTTATGCAATTAGCCACACACGCATCTGAAATTACAGAGAGCGTAGTAAAGAAGCTTCTGCTACTAGGCAGGCATTACACCTTAAACTCCACATCATTTTCATACTCACATACATATGTACATGCATATGTATGGATTGGATATGTATTGGTAATGAACCGAATATTTCGAAATATCCATTACTGTGTTGTCATTCAGCTGCAATGTTACACTACAACAATTTTGTCATGCAACTGTGTAACTCTGATCAGTTTACGATATGGAAAAGTAATAGGAATGCGACGACCCAAAACATTATTTTTTTCTTTTAATA